TGGGGGGGGGTGGGCTACTTAGTAACCTTACTGGGTTTGCGACTTCCCCTTTGTTCAACATGGAGGACTTAAGTCTCAGTAGGCAATACTGATAAAAGTGGGTGTTTGAAATAGATATCCCTGCTATGGGAAATGTCAATGGTACAATTGATAATGCAGGTTGTGTTTGTACTGTGTTTATAAGATAAACTTTCACATTTTCCCCCTCTTATCTCGTGATGCTTTCATACTTCTTCTATGGCATGTTTTTTGATTGTCCAGACAAAATTCACTGCCATGAAGTTGATTCCAACTAATAGTAAACCTAGGGTTTCTGAGGCTTTTAAGTCTTTATGGGAACAGACAGCCTTGTCTTTCTCCTGTGGAGCAGCTGGGGGTTAAGCGGTACACTTGGGAGTTAACAGTCTAGTGCTGACCTACCTGGCAGTGCCACCAGGGCTCCTGGATTGGCTGTAACACTCAAAAACCTCACTGCCATCAAATCCATTCTGATTCGTAGCAACTTTATAGGACAGAGTAGAACTGCCTCTGTGGGTTTCCAAAACTGTTGATCTTTACGGGAGTAGAAAGCCTTATCTTTCTCCCGAGAAGTGGCTAGTAGGTTCAGTTGCTGACATTGAGATTATCAGCACAATGTGTAACCCACTACATCACCAGGGCTACAATTTCATTACCTATACCACCACCACCTCTTCCCCATAAAAATAAAACTCCCCATTGCCATCAAGTTGATGCCGACTCATAGCAACCCCTTAGGACAGGTTAAAACTGCCTCTGAGTTTCCAAGACTAACTCTTTACGGGAGTAGAAAGTCCGAAGGTGCTGCTGTTGGTTTCAAACTGCCAACCTTGTTAGCAGCCCAACACGTCTACTACCTATCCAGGGCTCCTCTGATTGCCTGTAGTGCTTGTAAAATGCAGATCAGAACAGTATATTACTGTTTGGTGGATTAAATAGGATCATGCTTATGAAGTGTTTTGACTATTTTCAATACATTAAAAATAGGAGATTAGTTTGTGTTGAGTCCCTCGGTGGTGCAAATGGTTATGGTTAGGTGTTTAGCTACTAATTGAAAGGTTGGCAGTTCTAATCTATTTAGAGATGCCTCAAAAGAAAGGCCTGGTACTCTGTTTCTGAAAGATACACCTGTTGTAAATCCTGTGGAGCACAGGTGAGATAGTTAAGGTTTATTGAGCCATCCTGGCCGATAAACACGTGGGATCAATTGAAGGATAGAGAGATAAATTATTTGGTGAGCCTCGCCTTTCTAGTTCTCCGGTCTCTTCTCTGGTGGTCGGATCAGGGTGCAGCTGCCTTAGCCAGTTCCCTGCTTCAGCTGACAAGGTTCACTTCCTGCAAGACATCCCTGAGGTGAAGCCACGTGGACCTACCCTGATGCAGCCATGGGTGGAGACCCCTGCCAGCACTGAGATGCTTACATGTTCACTGATTCGGCTTTCCTCCTGCAGTTGGCGTCATTGCATGTGTTTTGTGGGATTGAGGAGGACTTTGTAGATCAGTGTTAGACATGGGTTTGGACAGCACTGGGTTGGGATGCTTTTTTTTTTTTTTGCTGGGGTGCTTTCTTAATGTCCACTTACCCTTTATATAAAACTCACACATATGAGTTTCTGTGGATTTGTTTCTCTAGTCTACCCAGACTAACATAGCTGGTCTACTCCAACACACAGGGGACTGCCTTGAGTTAGAATCAGCTTGACTGGTAACTGATTTAATTTACTGTACAAATATATTTTTTAGTTTTTAAAATTTTGCCCAGTCTGGTATTGCTTACTCTCCTTTAGTCCTTAGCATGTTTTCTGGGGCAGGATAAACATGGAGTTGGAGCTGAGAGCCTTCTGCTCTGCCCTGTCTGCACGCCTCTCCCGGGTTTGTGCTGACTAAGTGGTTGATGGGAGCTCTTCCTTTTCTTCACGTGGCCATCCCTCCCATCTCCCCTTTTTGTTTTGTAAGACTTTTGAGTCCAGTGTGGCAGGGCTCCAGGGTACTCTTTAGGTCTGAGTTATGCCCCTAACATCCGGCTGTAGTCCTGGCCCCTGACGCTAACCCTGACCTGTGATGTCTGTCTGGGCTGGAGCTGTTGGAGCCCATCAGACACTCCTGAGGTGGCTCCGGGCAGTTTTCTTGCACACGGAGAGTTGGCTGGTGTGTCCTGTTTCCCATCTTCATGTTCTCTACCCCATTGTGTTTCCAGATGAATTCCCTCTGCTGACAACCAAGCGTGTGTTCTGGAAGGGTGTTCTGGAGGAGTTGCTGTGGTTTATCAAGGTAGGACTTGGCCTCTGTTGCAAGTGCACAGTCGGTGCTCAGCACAACTGCACAAACTCAGTCATGTCACTCTTCCACCCCAAACCGTTAGTGGCCCCCATTTTGTTAGTGTGTTAGGCTGGGTTCTCTCAAGAAACAAAGCCAATGACACTTGTATGTGTAAATAAAGGTATTTATGTCAAGAAATGCCATTCCTCCACGTATCTGGAAGGTATAGCAGGATACTGTTGTTTTCATTTCTTGAGATGGGCTGTGTGGTCTTGCTGGGGTGGGGTGGGAGGTAGGTTTATAAAAGAATTGATCTCAGAAGCTGAGGGACCACCTGGCTACCATCAAGAATTGCTGGGAGCGGAGCACATCATTCAGACCCGGGTCCCTGCACACTAAACCTCCTAGGCACAAGAACAAACAGATCTGTTCACTCTGCAGCCAATTAAGCCGACTGTCCTCCTCCTTGTGGGGGCCAGTGTGCAATGGCTGCAAACAGTAAGCCTCCTCGGTAGTGTATGCAGCCTATTGGTATGTATAGGCTGCCCTAAGGGACCTTGGAGACAACCTTTTGCTGCTTTTCAGTGCCTCTGGCCTGGCTAATTTCTGCTCTCCCTAAACTAAGCTCCAAACTGGGATGCGAGGTGCTTTTGGGAAACCTCAAGGCACGGTGGCTAGAGTCCACATTGGCCAGGTTATCATGTCCATCCGCACCAAGCTTCAAAACAAGGAGTAGGTGATTGAGGCCTTACGCAGGGCCAAGTTCAAGTTTCCTGGGCGCCAGAAGATCCACATCTCCCAGAAGTGGGGCTTCACCAAGTTTAATACCAATGAGTTTGAGGATATGGTGGCTGAGAAGCACCTCATCCCAGATGGCTGTAGAGTCAAATACGTCCATGGCCCCTTGGACAAGTGGCCAGCCGTGCATTCATGAAGACTTGGTAGCCCTGTGCTGCCTCACTTGTACCCACCAAATAAAAATTGAACTTCCTGATTTAAAAAAAAAAAATCTGTTCACGCTGGGGACAGTGCCAGGTGGGACATGAAGGTGAGGGATGGTGTGGTGGCAATGGTACAGGAGCAGGAACCGCGAGACTGGCACGCGATGACCACAGTGGGCTTCCTGGCCCATGGAGGAGGCAGCACTGGTGGGCTTGGCGGCAGCTTGGTGTAAAAGGTTGAGTGCCTCTGGTAGGTGGTGTGGAGGCTTGCTGGTGGAATGGGTTCCCTCTGGGCACTTGAGGTTCGCGAGCTGTGACACTTGCCCAAGGTGAGAGGATGTGCAGTGAAGGCCAGCCTGAGAGTCAGCTTGAGAAACCACCAAGGAACACAGCCAGCCCAGGCTTGCTGAGTGCTGCCTCGGTGCAAAACTGCCCTGAGTGACTGGCTGATCCCATCCTACATTTGTGCCTTTAGTCTCCAAGTTGCTTCTGGTTCTCAATTTTGGGTATGGGTTCTGCGTGGCCATTGCAACAACTTGTCAAAACCCGGCAGAGGAGTCGGGAATGCCTGGGAGGGATGGTTAGTTGATATCAGAGTAGGTAAGTGAGAAGCTTGGAGAGCTGAGGATGGTCTGACCCTGCCTCACAGGACCCAGCCTGGGGCTGACAGTGACTCCTCCCAGGGCTCCTGGCAATTCACTCCTGCAGAGCGCCTGCTACAGTCTTGACCAACATCCTGTTTTGGAAAGGAGCTAGTCTTCCCTGGTTCTGTGTTCTTGAGGTCATTTGTAAATGAGAAAGAACCTGTGTGGATGGGTAGGGGTGTCATTAGAAGTAATATGTGGAAAAATTGAGCCGTGATTTGATGGAAGTGAAAAAAATTGGGCCAGGCTCAGCAGTAAAATGGGAAGGAAGCAAGTTGCTCAGAACTAAACAGCAGTCATTTGTCATGCACAGGTTGGATACAGGTGCTAGAGAGTCCTGTCCAGTAGCCTCTAGGACTAGCCTCTGATAGGGGTTATTTCATTGTGTCCAAATACAATACAGGAGTCAAACTAACCGCACTTCCTCAAGGGATCTGCAGGCAAGGTGGAGAAATAGAGACCGGGAAAATCCGGTGCAGTATAGGAGTCAAACTATAACCGCACTTCCTCAAGGGATCTGCAGGCAAGGTGGAGAAATAGACACCGGGAAAATCCGGTGCAGGCTGGCCAAAGGACTAACTCGAAGAAGAACTAATACTTATTGAATACCAATCTTATCTAACACTCAAAATAATCGGCTGATAAATACTACTAAGGGCCTCTTTTCTAGATGAGGGTAGTGAGGATAGGGGGTGGGGAGCTATTAGAAGCGAAGGGAGGTGAAAGAGCCCCGCACTGAGAGTAAGTGTATGTGGCACCATAGCCTTGCTTGTGACCTGAATAGCATAGTATGCAGTCTGCCTTGACTCGGCTGGTGGCGAGGATGCACCACCGGGAGCAGTTTGGGTTATAATGGGCCAAGTGAGAAACATAGCAAGTAAACATAAGGCTTTGTATTTGCCAGAACAACAATCCACTAACAGTCAGTATAGGTTGGGGTAAGCGCACCTTTATGGTGGCATATCTAGGATAAGAATAAACTAAGGTCCCAAGTTGTTTCCGTGTGACTGGTGTATTTGCCAGAAGTACTAACATTGACTGGACTGAGAGTAGACATTTCTTGTGGCAGGTGTAATGTACACGGAAAAAATTGCTCTTATAGTATTAGCTTCATTTGGGGGTATCCTACGTAAAGATGGACCCCAATCAAGATACATTTGATGAAGAAACAAGTGTCAGTTGGAGAGGAGGCTAATTAAAGACTTGGACCTGGAACAGTATGTTGAGGGGTGGTTTCAAACAAGGACGGCACTGCCTTGTAGACCCCCAGGAGTGAGCTGAGCTGAGACCAGAGTGCTTACAGCAGGAAGGTGCTGGGTGCCTAGCTCAGCGTTTCCAGCACAGGCTGCTGCTGGGGGTGGGGGTGCTCTCATGTAGATATCAACATGGGTGGCTGCTGTGATGGTTCAATCCCATGTGAACTTGATGGTCCCTGTGTGGAGATCAGGGCTGGAGTCCAAGCTATGAGTCGGGTCACATTCTGATGATGCCTCCTGGAGGGGTGGCCTTTGTATAAGGGTGAAGCCACAGGAATTTCTCTTGCCCCTCTCGCTTCTGGTTTGCCTGGATTTCAAGTCTGGCGCTAGGCTTGGCAGTCCATTTGCTGACCCGGGGAGCCGTGGTGCCCACCATGTTCCTGTGGAGCTCAGAGCATGCAGCTCTGTACCCCAGTGGTGCCTGTGGGCCCCGCTTCCTGTCGCCTGCCTGCTTGTTCATCGAGGGCTCCGGCTAGCAGTGAGCCCATGGACTGGTCTGCTTTTGAAATAGGAAATCCTTTCGTGATATAAGATCCTTTGTTATACGTATATGAATGTCACTGGTTTGGTTTCTCTACAAAAAGCCAGCCTGACCCAGTGAGTGACCCAGAACTGGCTCGTGCTTACTGCCCTGTCCTGTCTCTTCCAGGGATCCACCAATGCTAAAGAACTCTCCTCCAAGGGAGTGAAGATCTGGGATGCCAATGGGTCCTGAGACTTCTTGGATGGCCTGGGGTTCTCGACCCGAGAAGAAGGAGATTTAGGCCCAGTCTATGGCTTTCAGTGGAGACATTTTGGGGCTGAATATAAAGATATGAATTCAGGTAAGGAGATTGGGACACCTCAGAATCCACTGAGCACTCTTCATAGTGTAGATTTGCTCCCTTGGTTGAAGTCAGTAATGTCAGGGAGATAGTAACTTAGCGTCCTGAGAGTTGATGCGTTACTCGGGCACAGCGGAGGGCTAAGTCTCATGGAGGTTGGATCACATTCTTGCATGGCAGAGCAATGTAGTTGGTCGTCAGGCTGAGGGTAAGGGGAGAAGGACTCTCAAAATTGCCTTGTGGCTGCCTTGTTTTCGAGTTCAAGCTGACCCAGCCAGGGTGCTGATGGGAAGCTGAGGGAGAGAGGAAGGATAAAGCATCCCACTCCTGACATCCTCCTTCCTCGGTCACTGCTGGCTGGAGTATCAGAGTTCTGCCCCTAAGCAAGCAGGGGATGCAAAAGTGAATGTCTGCCTCTGTGTGGGAGAAGGGAGACCAGAAGTAAATACTGTATTTGCTGGGTAGCGACCAGCAAACTGGCAAGTTTGAGTTCCAGTTAAAGGGGATTGTAACATCTTCTCCAGCTCAAGGAATTTGAGCAAAGTGGATAGAATCATTCAATAAAATATGCAGTCAAGGATTTTTTTTTTTTCCTTTTTATAATTGGGGGCTAGGGAGCAACTCTTTGGGGAGTTCAGAACTGAGGTGGACCAAACCATTTTTGCAGGGGAGAGGCCTGTAGGTTGCTCGCAGGCGGCCCGCTATCCTAGCATGTCCCTCTTGCGTGGCAGGCCCCTCCCATGGTTCATTGGTGCCCTAAACCCTGCTGGTATTCCGTATAGGAGGACCTCCAAAAAGCCATGGAAAAACTCCATTCTCTCTACTCCACTTTTCCCCGAAGCGTTTTGATGCCCCTGCAGACAGTGTTGCTTAAGCAGCCATAACAGCAATGTGTTCTGAGTTTAGAGGTGGACAAATACAGAGTGGTTGGGTCTTAAGAAGTTTTTGTGTAAATCTTTACTTTGAAATAATGACACATTCTTGGGAAGTTGCCAGCAAAAACAAACCGAGAGATCCCTTGTACCCTCGATCCAGTTTTCATCCTGCGCCCCATCTTATATGAATCAGCAGGGATGTGATCCAGAGAGCTTACTGGGTTTCTCCAGTGTACCCATCGTCATTGATCACCTGTGTAAATTCATGTGGCCACCACCGTAATCCAGATACAGAACCAGTTCACAATGCTTGATCTTTTTCTTTTTTAATTTTTTTTTAAAAAATTGGTATTACCTCTATTGGTCATGAGATAACTTATTCTCCAGAAAGGTTAAGGACTCCTGGATTAGGAAATGGTCTGACCTGGACGAGTGGAAGTTTAACCAGGGGAAAATTCTGAGCTCAGTATTCTCAGCCTCGAGTTGCATTTCAGTAGGCAGGCAAGAGACCAGAAACGGGGGAAGTACAAGCTGGGCAGCCTTTCAGAGGTTTCCTGGTTCCCAATACTGTTTGGCTGCTGGATTGTGATTTTAGGTAGAAGTGTTGGAAGGCATAGTATCTAGATCGCAGGAAGGAACCACAGGATGCCGTTGGTTGGAGTATGTGGAATAATGCAGTCCTGTGATTCCCATGGCACACGGTTAACATAGACTATGTCAGGTGGAAAATGTGACAAGGACGGTTGATGGACATGGAGGCCTAGTCCTATGGGGACCCTGGGAGAAATTGGGTCGAAGGTCAGCAGTATTGGGAGGTGACACTCCAGCAGACCAGGTATTTGACGGGCTTGTGTAGAAAAGAAAGGTTTTGTAATGGTTCTAGAAGACAGACCCATGCTGCTTAGACAGGGACTTGAAGCGCTGTTAACACCACCCAATGGGCTCTGTGATAACTTGTGATCTTGGGTCAAGGGAGTATAATAGACCACCTTGAAAGCCCATCTCACGAGATACTGATTGATGTTTTGTGTGTGTTCCCTCTGACAATTCCACAGATTACTCAGGCCAAGGAGTAGACCAGCTGCAAAAGGTTATTGACACAATCAAAACCAACCCCGATGACAGAAGAATCATCATGTGTGCTTGGAATCCAAGAGGTGGGAAGCCGCCCCATCGTGCCCGTGCTAATTGTGCTGGTGGAAGGACGAAAGCAATAGGGCAGTGTGCAGCGGTAGAGCCTCCAGGCTCCGCCTCCAGCCAGGTCCTTGGCTGTGTGACCTAGGATAGTTTACACCTTGGGGTGGGGTGGGGTGGGGGGGCTGGCTGGCTGGCCCCAGATCATCATAGTTTGGCTATTTATACTCATTCTTACTCCAAAAAGGGCTTTGGTTGCCTCTAACAAGGCACTTAAGGTTTTTGGCATTTTAAATTGTGGCAGATGTTTCAGATCACCTCACAGTAGTTTGAAACTGGTTTAATTTTTTTTAAAAACCATATTGAAAGTCTACACAGCATGTAGATTCTCATTCAACAGGGCCTGCGCACACTGTTCAGTCTTCAGTGCATTTCTCACGTGTCGATGTTCTCGTTGCTCCGTATCTGATGCTTTAGTTTCCCTGCCCCCTTCTTGGTTTTCCTTAATTGTTCACCTTTGGTTTCATCACCAAAACCAAACCCCCTGCCATCGAGTCAATTCCTGGTCACAGCCGCCCCTGTATAGGGTTTCTGAAGCTAAGCTTTACTGAGCAGATAGCCTCGTCTTTCTCCCTTGGGGCGCCTGGTGGTTTGAACTGCTGGCCTCGTGGTTAACCGCCCACTGGATCACCATCTATGCCATCAGGGCAGAGATGGGTTTTTTTAAATGGAGGGCTGTGCTCAGTGGTAATTTCCTTTATTTTGTGTACCAATGTCTTATTTCACATAAAAGGTAGGTTTTTAAAAAAAATTATTTTATTGGGGGCTCTTATAGCTCTTGTAACATTCCATACATCAGTTGTATCAAGTACACATAAAAGGTGATCTTGGGGTAGTTTGGGTCCCGTGTTTAAAGATTATCTCAGGGAGACCATTAGTCTCAACTGGCTTATTCGGTCTGGACTTCTGAAGTCAGATTAGGAGTTCTGTTCCCACGTTTTCCATCTTTCAGGCTCTCTCTGGTGTGACTCCGATCAGAACAGATGGTAGCGACAGCTGGGCAACATCGTTTACATTTTTAAATGGTAAAATTAACATTTTTATAGCGGTTCATAAATACCAGCCGAGAACATTTGCACCTGTACCAGTAAGATACTTTGAGTACAGCAGCATGTAAGGGGCTACTACCCACACGGTCAGTGGTTTGAACTCGCCAGCATCTCCACGGGAGAAAGCTGAGGTCGTCTACTCCGAACAGGGCCGTTCTCGAAGCACGCATGTCCACAGAAAGCAAGCTCACGTGACAGGTTTCCATGTGCTGTGTGCCACTGCTAGAGTCAAGTGGTCTGTTTTTGGCATGTGGGGAAGGTGTGGTCCAAGGGGACTGCGGCAGCTCTTCCCATGATCTCCACCTTGATCTGGTTTGCTTCTGTTTGATGTTGCCCATTTTGCAATGACTTTTAAACCCCCGTCCTCGTTTCTTTGTGCTGGGTTCACAGACCTTCCTCAGATGGCGCTGCCTCCTTGCCACGCCCTCTGCCAGTTCTATGTGGTGAACGGTGAGCTGTCCTGCCAGCTGTACCAGAGGTCAGGTGACATGGGCCTGGGGGTGCCTTTCAACATCGCCAGCTACGCCTTGCTCACCTACATGATCGCACACATCACAGGCCTGAAGGTGCGCTGTTCTCTGGTTTTAAAAAAAACAGTTGCCAGTGTCATGCACTGAGATGCTTTAATACAGAAAAATTAATTGCAAAGAATTCACGATAGTTCCAAAATCGATGCAGTCACTTCTCATTCAGTCTGTTTGCAAACTCACCTGTTTGCGGAATTTCATTTGCAAGGCCCCGTCAGTGCTCACAGAGGGCATGTGTGTCCACTGCTCATGCTTTCCGCTGAGGTTGAACAAGACAGTCCGCCTTCTTGTTTTCGGCTCTCATAGAAGCAAGTGTACCTCTTACAGTCTTGTTAGTGCTCCATTTAAGTGAACTTCGAGTAGAATGCCGCCTATTGTTGATGAGAGCAAGGAAGCTATGAGCTAGCTGAGGGCGAGCATGTGTATGAGGTAAACCTCATGAGGTACTGCGGTCGTGGTGAGTGCGTGAGCAAAGGAGCAGCTGCACTAAATAAGCTTTCTTTGAACTGAAACACGAAAACAAGTTCATGGTACTGCTCCGTTGATGAAACGGTTGTGGCCAGAGGCTCACCGGAATCCAACCCTGCATTTCCTCTAGAGTAGTGGTTTGGTTTTTCACGACTGCGGTGTTCATGACTTTCTAGAACTCGAGTGCTGTGAATAAAGCACCTTGATTCGTCTATATAAATAGAAAACCAACAGGCTCCCTTTGTAACCTTGTAATGAGCGGTTTATGTCCCTGTTCCCTGTGTAAACTAGCAAGCATCAGACCTCACCCAAGATAACTTAGACTAATTCACGTCTTTCAAAAGCCTCAGTGTTTGAACCACTTCTGGAAAAGTCTTGGGGTGTTTTGCTTAATTGGGTAATGTGTTTTTACTGGTGTTCTCAAGGAACTGAAAGTAAAACCTCTATTGTGTTTTCTCCCATGAAATTTAGCCAGGTGACTTTGTACATACGTTGGGAGATGCACATATTTACCTGAATCATGTTGAACCCCTGAAAGTTCAGGTAAGGATTACTTTACATCCTATACTTTGAAGTTCGGTTTTGAGAGGAGTTAGGACCTTCTCAATAAATGAAAGGTTCATGTGTAGAATTCTCCTGGTGAGCTAGGTGTTCTGCTGGGTGAAGATGATGTGCCTTGTTTTCGGGGCTTCACTGTAGGGAAGGTTGTTAGACGGGTGGGCAGGCATGAGCAGACATGCACCTTAACCACCACGTGCAGGTAACGGTCAATTATAAAATTGTAACAGGTGCTATAAGGCCCAGAGTGGTAGAACCAGCAAGGAAGAGCCACATTCTGACCAGGGGACCCTTCTCAGAAGGGAAATTGTAGTTTGTATTTTCACTTGGAGAATTTAAATGTAAATATCTTCCCTTAATTTTGTGCCAATTACAATACCCGTTTGCCCTGTTTCCTGAAAATAGAGTGATCCTATGAAATGTTTTGAAAACAAATGGCCGGGCATAAAGCAAAGAAACGATTAACCTTTACTTTAGAGGGGGAAATTTTTGAACATTCCCACATCCCCAAAATAACCTGCCAAATCATAACAAGTTACACATAAAACCTAAAGTAACGCGAACATATGGTCAAAGCAAGAATTGGGGTAAACACATAAAATATAAGCAATGGATGCACAGTGTAGTTCCCAAGGAAGGAGCCTGGTGACAGGCTCCCGTGGCTCCCCAGGGAACAGATGTGGCGTCCGTTTCCCTCTGCACCTCTGGTGGTGAGTGAGTGAGTCCCTCTTCCATTTCTCCACTGATGTAGGTCCTTCGTGAAAGCAAGATGGTATAGAGCAAACCTTCAAAAAGCAGGGATACCTGCATGAGGAGGCGTAATAGTGTGGGAAAATGGAATTAAGAGCTAATGGAATTTCCCCACATTTTGTTTAGTAGATCTGAACTTTCAAAAACTTATGGATGCAAATCTAACTTAATGGCAGCAACAAATGATTTGAAGTGGCAATAAAAATAAGTTGCAAGTGTGCTTGATTAAAACCCAGACCAATTGCTGTTAAGGCAGTCCCAGCTCCTGGCGGCACCATGCGCTCTTTTCTCTTTCCTTTCCCCCAGAAAGATTTCCAAGCTTCTCTTCTGAGGCACCTCTGGAAAAACTCAAACTGCCATCTTTTCAGTTAGCAACCCCTGCAACCTTGTGTACTGCCAAACCTTGTAGCCTCTTCCAGATTACATCCCACAGGGGTCCTAGTGGCATAGGGACCCACGTGCTCAGCTGCTGACCACCAGATGGCCTCCTGGTTTTCTTGAAAGTCACTTCTGCCAGGGAACTTGGTTGCTTGGTTTAGGGTGACCTTGGGAATTTTAGAGTGATGTGTGAATACAATGCTTCTCTAGCTATCTGTTCCAGTTAGTGTTGAGCAGAACAATGTGTGACCATCAGTTATGCCCATACCACAGTTACCACTGACTTTCAGGAGTTCATCTTTCCCTCCCTTTTCAGCAAAGGCAAGGCGTAGCAACCGAAGAGTTCAAATTAATCACACAGTATCTACTCTCAAGTTACAGGTGAAAAGTAAAAGACTAAAAGTTCCCAGTGGTTCTAAGAGTTTACACCTCTTGGAACGATCAGGCTCCTAATGCCACATCATTTTGTAATTCACACTTCACTCCTCTGTGAGTGGGTAGTAACTCCCCAATAATATTGCTTCATCAGGGGCGAGATATTTACAGTTTCACACCTGTACAGATTTGGTAGCTCTAACGGCCTATTTTGTTGTTTTTCAGCTCCAGCGAGAACCAAGACCCTTCCCCAAGCTCAATATTCTGCGGAAAGTTGAGACCATTGATGATTTCAAAGCTGAAGACTTCCAGATTGAAGGATACAACCCTCACCCAACTATTAAAATGGAAATGGCTGTCTAGAGTGCATAAGGAGGTGTGTTGGCTATTAGGGAGGGGATGGACTGGAGGCCCAGGGGAAAGCGTCCTTTTTGCTATAAAGGAAAAGGGAACTATTAGGTCAAAACGCTCTTGGTTACCTACGAGTTACTCTTCATTTAAAACGGCTCCTCTGAAGCATGTTGCCAGTAACAATTACATTAGTGTCAGTCTTTTGGTAATGAAAAGTGCTGAGCTTGTGACTAGTGTTAGGAGAGTGAAAATCGATGTGCTCAGTGGATTTCAGAAACCCTCTTAAACTATTCCCCTAAACTTGAGTGAGCGGCATGATACCCGTTAAAGTTGTTTTATATATTGCTAAAATAAGGCCCTGTTCTGCATTTGTCCATGTGGTTTTGTGGCTTTTTAAAGTCTTTTCTTGTCATTTATCTGCCCAGTTCTTGCTTAAACTAATTGGACTTAGCTAATAAGCACTTATAAACAAACATTTGCTATTCTGGTTTGGATGATGCTGATGGAGTTAAAAATATAGTCTTTATTATAGAAATGCTGACTGTTTTGCTGTTTCTCTTTGATTCGTCTATTTCTAGCTACAATTTAGTGTGAGTAGGGGTGATAGTACAACAATGCAGTGAGTAAAATGTTAATTGCACACTTATAAATGGTCAACCTGGAATATACTGTTGGGCTCAAGTAGAAAGCAAATGTTTTGAGAATGATGGCAACAAATGTACAATATATATGGTTTTGTTTTTTTTTTTAGTTTTATTGGCTTATACTTTATTTTTAATAATCTAATTTTATTAGGGGCTCATCACAATCATTTGTATCCAGCACATTAGCGCATATGTTGACTTCATCATTCTCACAACACCCGCTTTCCACTTGAGCCCTTGGTGTCAGCTGTTTTTCCCCTCCCTGCTCCCCCTGATAATTTATATGGCTATTTTTTAATGGTTATATGAAAATGCACTTTAGAAATACCACTTCTTTGCCCTTGCTAGTTTAAATGTGGCATGAATTCTCTTAATAATATGCTTACATGAAAAGAGATGCTAAATCACTTGTAAGCTAATCAGTGAAATCTTTGTAACGCGGTTGCATACCAGACACCCCATGGTGCTAGAGGACTATTTTTACTTTGCTAATTTATAACAAGTGTTCAATAGAATAAGAAGTTTCCCCAGCAAACAAGTTATGCAACATGTTTATTCTCTAAGTGCAGATTAATAGGTCATCTCCTTGGATTCTGGATTAAATATAAGTTCGCTTTTATCCTGAGATAAATCTGGTTGAACTCATTTTTCTCCTACTTTTGTAAAGTCCTACCCAAGAACTGGTGAGGCCTTTCACTTGGAAACAGGCGCTAGGGCTGAATGCTTAGTTTTCTCGGCCAGCAAGGAGTTTCTTCCAAACAGCTCCACCTGGAAACTGGTGTTCCTTCACGGACGATTCTTTCATTTCTGTTGAGTAGCCAGCATCCTAGCGAAGATGACAACATAACCATTAACCACCTGGCATGAAACACTTTATGCATTTCTGCTGCGCCTAGAAATGTTTCTAAACGAAGCTAAAGGGCATAGAGCTGATTTTTGTAAAGATACATTTTCAAATGGTTTTAAAATTGAGGGTGTTTTACTGGCTGCACAGGAAATGTATAGGTTTTCTGATTGCTCAACCTCTGCTGATGGAAAAAGCCATTCAAATCATGAGGATCAATGGCGCAGAAAATCACTGTCAGCGCTTCTTAGAGCTCACTGACTTGCTAGTGGGTACCATGTTCAGTTGGTTCTGCATGCAGGCGCAGCGGGTTTTAAGGCTTCACCAGGTAAAAAAGATGTACTGGGGCAGCTTAGCCTCCAGCCCTGGTCTTCAGACTGCAGGAATTCGATACCCATACTGTGAACCTCTAACTTATTAGTTTGTGGGACTGAACATGCCTGAGAGTTGGTCCTGTTGCCTTGTGGGGCTTCCCAGCCCTGGTCCTACCTTAGGAGGCATATAAGATGCTTTCTGGATCAGCACAGGATACTTGAAATGTTCGTGCAGGTGATCAACATATTCGCACATCCTAAGGAAAGAATGACATTGGGGCAGTAAGACCCTCAGTCAGATGGGTAAAAGCGGGGGGGGGGGAACACCCCACTATGGAGATATGATGAGGTACCACTCAGCCTCCGCTAGGAAGCTCTGAGTGTCCGTCCATCTCAGTAACCTGTGCCACAGGATCTAAAGCGGCCTGGGGAAGCTTTGATGAACCATGAAGTTCCTTTTTCAAGCCTACATTCTTAGTGGTCCCCAAAGGCATTGGTTTAGGCCCCACAAATAGCAGGGGCTGGCTACCATAAGTTAGATGAATAGACTGAAAAGACAAAATCCCCAAATACACTTTCTTCTAGTGTGCCGATTTCAAAGATTAAAAGGAAAGGTTTTAGAAGTAGCTTGATCTCTGCTCAAATGTTGTGGGCCCCTGGCCGAGTGAGCTAGCTTTCTTGCCGGACTTGAATCATCTGTCAAGGAAGAGCCGTGGCGAGCGTGATGTGCCCAGTGCTAGGGACATACGGGTGTTGGCAAGCTTGCATTGGACACAGATTCTAAGTCATCGCCTCTACAGGGAGCTCTACATAAATATATAAAGATCAGGGTCCCCATAAAGAGGCAGGGCACGGACAAGGTCAGCTGGGCTGTGAAAGGAGGGAGGACTGGCGTGCCCCACAGGCTCGGTGTGGCGGCACACACATGGCTGCATGGGGTGCTTGCAGCCTTTCTGGGGAAAGCTGAGGCACTCAAGCCAAGGGGACTGGCCCTCAGACTTCCAGGACCTTTTAAGGTTGGGACCCCCTTGGTCCTGAGGGAACTGAAGTGAGACGGGGCAAAAGCACGTGGGATTTTTTCTTTTTCATGATCGAATCAGACTATTGGAAAGAGGGAAAAAAGGCTCTAGTCTCACACTATCTGTCGGCTTAACAAACAGGTTCATGTTTGTGAAACCTCAGCTGTGGCAGCTCCTGGTCCCCTGATGTCCTCACACTGTCGCATAGAAGAGTGCAATGTAGAAGAGTAGCGCACCCTGTAGAGGCGATGACTTAGTTATCTGTGTCCAATGCACGCACGCCAACGCCCATATGTCCCTAGCACCAGGCACAGCACACACGCCATAGCTCTTCCTTGACATGATTCTGCCCTCACAGAGAGCAACACCTGACTACTGGCACCAGCTTAAGAAATAAACCATGATGATTACAGTCGCAGCCCCCTGGGCACCCTTAACCGAAGCCTGTTTCTCAATCCTTTCCCATATGCGTCTTTATGCTTTTGCTGAGTACCTTCGTTTAATTCCAAGAGGAAAGAGAAGCCCAATCAGCAAAGCCCTGTGTGTCAGCCGACAAGAACGAACTTGTCCAAATTTAAAGAGAAAGCTCATCTGGGCCATACAGGAGATGGCGGCATACAGAGTCGGCATAAGCGAACAAGGAGTGAATGAAAACCGGGCTGTAAAAAGCCAGAGACCAGAGCTGGTTTGAAAGTACTGGCAGCAAAGCCCTTTCCTCCCAAACCAAAATGAACAGCTACCAAGACTTCACCCCCGTTCACGGAAGGATGACCATTCACTGGTGGGCCTTCGCCCCTTGTGGAGAAACAGAAGCAAAGCCCACTCAGCCTTTGCATGGAGGACGCGCCCAACCGGCAGTGTTCTTGGTGTCGGGTCACGACACTGGGAACGTTTGGGCTGGAACAGAGGCATGCCGGTTGAGCGGGACTCTTGGCTCATGCCACATTTGTTGCTTTCATGGGTTGCAATTGAGTCAGGGCCAGCTCGTGGCGACCTGATGTGCAAACAAAAGAAACCCTGGTCTTGTCCCACCCTCACAAGTGTCTCACTGTCACATTAACCACTGCCTTTGTGTCATGACCCCACAGGGTTTCCCAGGCTGCGGAGCTTTATGGAAACCTCGTTTGTGTTGCCCCCCACCCCAGGTCACTGACCTGTTTTCAAGGCTCGCAGAGACAGCTATGTAATCAAATATAATCAGGTGCTGCACCAGCTCACAGAGGCCAACGCCGCCGGCATGGGGGCAAACAGGGACTAAAACGAAGACAGGCTTCTGTTTAGTGCCACGAGTCTGGCAGAGAGACGGGAGGTGATCACAATGCCCGTGTGCAGATTAAATCACCCGCGAGTATATTCTGATTTCCACGAGCACGATTTCAAGGAGCCAGAGAGAGGAGGGGGTGGTGAGCGGAAAGGTGACAAGACAGGTGGTGTTTTTAGGGCTTTGTCCACAACGTAATCACCTGTCACCATTTAGAATGGAATTCCAGGGAGAATTGTTAATTCCCCAATTAAGAGTGAAAAAAAAATTAAGTGACCAACCGCAGATTCGGGGAGCTGAGAAGACACTGGTAGACTGCAGCACCCTTACTTCCAAACTTGTGGGCCATGAGTAACACGGAGAGGCTCTCATTGACGCTCCCCAGTCTGCAGCTGTCAATCTGGAGAAACTGCAGGGCCTTGGCCTGTAGGAGCTGCTTAAACATCACTCTATTGTGGCACTGCAGACAGAATCAAAACACAAACAGGAGGGTCAGCCTGGGACTTTAGGGCACTGGGCATGACCATTCCAACCCCATGGTTTCTCATCCCTGCCTCCCAAGGCTTTCAGGGAGCCAGGAATCCATCGACTGTTCTTGGCACCGAAGGAGGCCCTTTACACATCTAGTGAACAGTGAGATGCCACCCTCGCTCACCCCCCTGGTTCTAAGGGAGGACGGCCAACCAGCTGGCGCGTGGGCGGTGAGCATGGAGCAGGTGGTGAGGACTACACGTAAACTTGCAGAGTGCGGCTCCCGTAGCTGGGAAAGCCGAGGCCCTGCTCCTGGCAGGCTCCTGCTACAGGCCCCACAGCAGTCACTGGAGCAGTTTGTAAGCAGAGAAAGTCACGTGGTACTGTCGGTGCAATTTTCCAGAGCTGGCTATCTTGAGAGCATGCAGCACATTGTATTCCCCCAATGGCAACTTCAAGCTGCTGCTGCCTTATACATTTTGATGAGGCACTTCTGCAAAAGAGGACTCACCTTCGAGTTGATGCCAATTCATAGGCATGCTATGGGACAGGGCAGGACTGCCCCCGTGGGTTTCCGAGACTAACTCTTCCCAAAAATCAAGTCACACTATTATTGAGTCTATTCTGACTCATAGCGACCCTACAGGATAATGTTTCCTTGTATAACTCTTTCCGGGAGCAAAAAACTATCTTTCTAATGAGAAGCAGCTGGTGATTTCAAATTGCTGACCTTGCAGCTTAATGCACAACCACTATGCCGCCTCTTTAGGGGGAGAAAGCCTTGTCTTAACTGACCTTAGTCACCCGAATTGTGGAAAAATCCACCGCCTTCTGACTGGATCAGCCTCCAGAGTCTAATTGGTGTGCAATGCTGCCCTTACTGAGGCAGAAGTTCCCCAGCTCCCAGGACAAGGATGGGAGAGCCTCCAGGCCTGTGCTCTCCATGGGTGTCGGTGTGTTCTGACCACAGTCGGTGTCACTTACCTGTTCTCCTGTGGCAACACCAATCCCTAATGGGGCCAGTGCCTGTAAGACAGAAGGCAGCCCCGAGTGACTTCCTACATTTTTGCACTGAAACACCTAATGTTTAAAAATATTTGTAGCTGAAGGAGGAAACATGCCTGCTGTCAAGCTGCGCAAAGTTTAAAGCACAGCCGGAGGATGGCAAAGAGTCTATGTGCATGGAAGGGTTGTGTGTGCATGGAGTGTGTGTGTGTACAGGAGAAAAAACAAAGGTGGATGGCAAAGAGTATGTGCATGGAGGGGCTTTTGTGTACAGAGAGAGTGTGTGTGTGTACGGGCGCGCAGGAGAAAAAAAGCAAATGTGCTGGTCTGCCTCTGGCTCCCTCCTAGCTAAGGCTCTGTGGACTGCCCTCTACAGCAGCCTGTCCACCCCTCTCCTGGGCCTGGGCAGAAGTGCGGACCCAGGAGTAGACAGTTACTCAGCAGAAGCTCATAGTGAGGCCTGCCCAGTTCCTTCCATTGGTCACCACTTCTGTTTTCTCTCCTCACTTGTGTCCTTCTAGAACCTTATCTGGGTACCATCCCAACATTCTCGCATTTCATGCAGACTGATCTTACAAGGCTCCGCTGTAGTCCAGGCTGAGGCCACTGGTCACACACTTCTCGCCTGTGGGAATCCTCACCCAGCACAGCCCGCTGTTCTTCCGCTTCCCTGCCTCCCTCTAAAGCAGCAGTTATCAACCTGTGGGTCACGACCCTTTTGGGGGGGGTGTCAAACAACCCTTTCACAGGGGTTGCCCGATACCTAGCAGTAGCAAAATTAGTGATGAAGTAACAATGAAAATAGTTTTGTGGGTGGAGGGGTTCACCACATGAGGAACTGTATGAAAGGGTCACATTAGGAAGGTTGAGAACCACTGCTCTAAAGCCACCTACCTGTGCTCCCCCCATCCCCCATGCCCTCTCCTGCCCCTTCAGCCTTCTCTGGGATGTGATTCCACAGCAATTCCTTCAGATGCTCTTTCCCGTGTTCAGGATTCCTGGCAGCATGCCAAATTACTGACTTAAATTGTCCTCATTCACAACTCAATGGGAGGACAGAGGACATCCCTACCCCCTTATCACAGCGGGCTGGCAGGGTTAGTTTAGCTGGGTCCCCAGATCCCAGAGCTAGGGAGGGGCCCAGCTGGGGCTTGAACACTAGGCAGATTCCAGAGTAGGGGGAAAGAACTGAGTGGATAAACAAAGCCAACTTCCCAGCAGAAACCCCCTTAGTTTAGGAGTACTGTATCTAAGCCCGCCCTTGCCCAGCCTGGCAAGGGGAGTGGACCCGGGCCAGTCGCCCACCACCTGGAGCCCGAGCTCATCTGCAGCAGGGCAGAGCTGGAGCAGATGGTTCTGCCATCTCCCCGTGTGGACACACCGGCTCCTCACATTTCTCACTGGAGTATTCTTGCTTCATTGTCTCAAGAGAGTGGAAATGGGAAGGGAGGCTGACGCCACCTATCTCGACGTAGCTCACTCCAGCCTGCCGTTTTAAAACACAGAAGACTGCACAGCAACCAAATTCTATTATCCCCCTTTAAGCACATCCTGAATTTGCTCTATTCTAACCACCCCCTTTCTTATCCACCCCACCCCCACCACACCTAGGTGGCCGGAAAAGCCACCTCACTCGTATCCCTGCCTCCCGTCCCTTTGTGCCCGTTCTTCACTCCACATGCGCAGGGCCAGCTCCACTGGACACGATGCTGCTAGCCTACCACCTCTCCCCAGAACCTGCCCAGGGCCCTCTCCCTCAAGAGTCCAGAGCACTCCCGGCAATGGCAGCATCAATGGCTGCACCTGGGAGCAAAGGGCTCTAGCCTGCTACCTGCAGACCACCCCACCCCACCTCCAGCTCTCCCGAGTCCCCACGCAGTGAGGGCCCTGCCACACCTGCTGCCTGCAGCTTCCTGGCATTTCGTTCACTGGCTCCCTCATCAGACACCTCTTGGGGGGGATGGCCTCCCTCAGTAAACAGTGTCAGCAGGAGGCTCTCTAGCTGGGACCCAGACCCCGGCTGGGGCAAGCTGGTCTTCAATAGGGTCAGGTGCCTTCAGGATGGCAGCAAGCCCCCGCCATCGTCCAGGGGGTCCGAGGAAGGAGAGACTTAGGGGAAAGACCCTGATGAGCCACGACTGCTCATCCGGGTCATTTCGGAACTCTCCCTGCTTCGAAGAGGGCGGGAGTCAGTCTGTGGTTCCTGCCGGCCTTTTCCTCCCTGTCCAAATCCAAACCAAACTCACTGCCATCGAGTCGATGCTGACTCAGTGATCCTACAGGACAAGGTAGAACTGCCGCCCTGTGAGTTTCTGAGAGCAGAAAGCCCATCTTTCTACCGTGGAGTGGCTGGTGGTTTTGAACTTGGGACCTTGTGTGTCGCAGCCCAACTGGTAACCACTACCCCACCAGGGCTCCTTTTCTCTCGCCTGCAGCTTCCCTCCCTCTCGGTCAACATTGTTCCTACCTCCAGGAGGTCCTCCAGTGGCCCCAACCCATGCCAGCCCCCCTTGCAGTACATTTCTACAGCTGCCACCCTCGGCACCCCTGCCAGTAGGCCGGCTTCTCGTCCTCGGTGTTTCCTCGCCAGGCAGGCTGCTCAGGGGAGACGGGACACAAGCCTTGATCGTGTGGTGTTTCGGACATCTGGTGGATACGAAGATGACTGAGGGACAGAGAAGGGGGGCCCTTGGGCCCTGGGCCCCTCCTCAGCCAACTTGCCGGTTCATAGAGGATACAGGGAGGCATCTCTCCTAGAATGCGAAACTAAGATGGTTTCCAGGGGTAAAGTTCTGAATTCAGCACATAATGGAGAAGAGTATAGTTATGAAACAAAGTAACAATTCTATAGTACAGCAAGCTAGGCCTCATTAGGCATGGGATGAGGGCACTAAGTCCCTAGGAGAAACTGACCATCCCATAGTACAGCAAGCCAGGCCTGATTAGGCACCAGATGAGGGCACTAAGCCCCTAGCACAGTGGGGGAGGGAGTCGCCAGAGGAAACATCAAGGGGAGTCAGAGGGGGGGACTGTTGGAATCTCTGGCCAGAGGAGGGAGATGAGGTTTCAGAGTTGCCATGTCTAGTGCTAGAAGCCGGAGAAGGCACCCTCCCGGCTGTGTGAAGGTTAAAGACAAGACAGCAGAAGGCTGGGGGAAGATGGGTGCCCCGGGCCATCTGCGCCTGGTCTGTTGTGTATGCAGTGCACATCACTCAGGGCTGCTGATGGCACACTCTTCGCCCAGCCTGGGCTATAAGGCAGCTTCCCATCACGCTGGCTCTGGGAGGGTACAGACACTGGGTGTTCTAACAGTTCCGTTCCTCTGGCTTTGTGGCGCAGTGCACATGTGGGCAGTGGGCCTCTCCCTGAGAGAGAGGGTCTCTCTCAGACATGCTTCCTGAGCCTGGAAGGGAAGAGCCAGCCCCCATGCAGGAAGGGGGTTCTTGGGAAATGGCCTTCTCCTGGGAGGGCTCCAACCTTGACATGAGCTGCGCCAGCCTCTCCTTTGAGCCAGCCACAGGGATCCTGACTTCTGGTGAACAAAATGTTCCTGTTTACAAAGGATGGGAACCATGCCTATTAGCCTTGGGTGGGGATGGCCTTTTGCTTTTGGCAATTCGCGCTCTGCCGTAAATGGAAATATGTGCAGCGAGTAAGGCGGAGTGCATAAAAGGAGGCAGGCCTGCACCCCTGGTCCCGGCCAGCAAACATTCAGGAACAAGCAGCGGGGCTGTGGGATCTGTCATGACCACCCTGGAAAGACAAATGAAGAGTCGCGGTGGCAGTGCTGTCCTACCTTAGAAATGGTGGCGTGGCCCAGGATGTCGTCCGGGGAGGTTGGCTCCTCAATCCACAATGGCTTGAACTCGGCCAGCTTGACCATCCACTCCACAGCTTCGGGCACGTCCCAGCGTTGGTTGGCATCCATCATCTGCCAGGGGAGAGAGCCCCTCTGATGGGTCTGCCCAGGGTTGACTGAGCACACTGCAGGGCTGTGGCCCCCAAGGAGAAGATGACGTCACTTGGTGCCACCAACTCTCCACGGACCCTGGCATCCTCCTTGCACGGTCAAAATGGGACCCAGGCAGGCCTTGTGAAACCTCCAGAGGGGACCCAAGGGAGCCACAGTGACTTGAAACTCCAGACATGCCTTCGGAGAAGGACCCAGTGGTGGCACTGGACAATAGCGATCACCCACAATGCCCTGCTCGGCCCCTACGAGGTGCTCACTGGCCCCATCTTCAGTTCAACTCAGATGCCTCCCAGGGTTAATTGTTTATAGGGAATGTGATTATGATCACATTCTAAGTCATGATACACGGTCGTCAAAAGTGAGCTCAGCTCAATAGTGAGTGAGTGCTACTAGGTGTCTAACAGTAACACAGAACCGACTCTGCTAAGTACGTTAGGATTTCACCTCATTTAATATGCATAATAACCCTACAAGGTAGTTCACAGTACACCGTTTTACAAATAAGAAAACGGACATGCTGAGAAGGTCCCATACTTGTTCAAGAACAAGTCACGTAAATTACGGGTTCAGGCCAGACCACTATCCGGCCCAGTCCCCGGCTCTCTGCACTCTGCTCACCTTGCTGGCAGCCAGGGGCTGGGGAGCAGCCTTGGGAGGACAGACGGAAGCAGCTCTCGAGAGCAGAGTGTGGTTGGGAGGAGAGCCCTCCCTCACAGCATGCTACGAGCAGAGCAAAGGACGCTCCAGATCAATTTTGATCATCAATTATTTGCATGAGAATGACCTCATCAAACCAAAATAGCTTTGCTAGTGCATTGCGGGACTTCTAATCAATCCCATGTCAAGAACTCCAAACTGCTCATTTAAATTATGAAACAAACCTCTTCATTAAAAATAAATAAACCTATGACGTTCCTTTATAAAAAATACTTTACGTAAAAATAATAATAATTTATAAGTTATCAAGGGCTCACGAGGGTGGGAGGGGAGGGAAGGGGGGGGATGAGCTGATACCAAGGGCTCAAGTAAAAAGAAAATGCTTTGAAAAGGATGATGGCAACATATATACAAATGTGTCTGACACGATGGATGGATGGGTTGTTCTAGGAGCGGTAAGAGCCCCCAATAAAATGATTTAATAAAAACCAACTTTACGCTTCATAAGAATCATTTTAGAAAAGACACTGTCACGAAGGAGTGAGCCTGACGGTTGCCTCGACCCATGTTCCCAGACAGGCTTTCTTCAGTGGCGGCCCCCACGGCCCGTCTAACCAGCCCGCGCCACGGGCAGGTGTCGTGCAGAAGGGGGATTCAAGGAGGCACCCCTAGGCCAGTGGAAGGCCTATCAGCTTACATGCATCCTTGTTAGCAAGAAGGCCCCCTCAGCGAAAGCTCATTTAAGTAGTTCTGCAGAATAAAAGTTAATAATAAAATAAAATGACCTGCCCCCTCAATGCCTTTTGTTCGGTTTCGTTAACAAAAGAGCCATACTTGTGAGCTTCCCTGTGTTCTTTAACCCCTGCTAGGAAGGAATGGCTTGGGCCCTGGACAAAGGCTTCCCAGAGGCTGCCTGTTCCCCAGCAGCGGACAGTCAGTCTCCTTACTAGTGTTTTCTCGGGTCCGATCATGTCTCGGATGAGGCGGCATCTGCGGATGTCATCCTGGAGATCGGCCCCGACCTTGACTTTGAACCTACAAGATACAGTTGGCTGGCAGTGTACATCTGTACTAAGATCTGGTCCTCCAAACCCAAACCAAACTCACTGTCACTGAGGTGATTCACACTCAAACCTGCCGGCCCCTGGGGATTTCTAAGGCTGTAAATCTCTATAGGAGCAGAAAGCCTTTCTCCCTCGTAGCGGTTGACGGTTTTGAACTGCTGACCTTGTAGCTAGCATTATCAAGCAATGAAAACGTATCTTGAGAAGTTACACTTGCTGTCTTTGGGGTATTCAAGCAGAAGCTGGACTGACGTCTGAATGATAAACAACAGTCTACTTTAGACCAGGAGACGCTCGGGTGGTGCAGCTTAAGCACTCGCTGCTCCCCACAAGGCTGGTGTTTCAAATGCACCACCTGGAGAACGAGAAGCTGTCTGCCGGGTCTCAGTTGGGATGAATCGGCTCGAGAGCAGGAAGATTGCTCTTGGTGTTCTAGGTTGGGGCTCTAAGATCTCATTCAACTCTGGTATTGTAGGGTTCTACTGGAGCACTAATTTGGAAACCTCCCTCCTCCGCCTCCCCAGTCCAGGCTGCCTGTGCAAGTACCAGGGTGGGGAGAGGGGTGGGGTTGGTGCTTTCTAATCGCTGACCAGGAAAGAGTGGCATCCATTACCCCATGGCCGGTTACCTTGTCCAGCCATCCTGCAGGGCCCTGGAGCAGAGCTGTGGGGAAGGAATACGTCCATCAGCATGTACTGAGACACTCTCTATACACCAAGGGGACCCCCGAGATTCTGCTCTGTAGTTAACAAGGACGGGGGCTGCAGCATGAGCCAGAACGAGCAGATGGTATTGACACAAGAGCAGACACAGCTTAGCCAACACAGCTTGACTAACACAGCTTCAGCTCTCCATACATTTATAGGGTGATTTTCTTTGCTCATCTCTATGGGAACCACCTCTTTAACCAGCACATCATCCCTGAAAGAGGAGTGTGGCTCTAATAGCCCTGTCTTAAAGGTGGGTGTTTCAAGCCGTCCACAGAACAGAGGCTATGAGAGCATCGAGCAGAAACCAGTCTGCCTTGCTCCACCCTGGCTCTCAGTGCATCAGTCATGAACCCCAGACCGAGTGCACCCCTTGTACCAACACGGCGCTCCCAGCACCTCACCACTTCTAGCACTTCTCTCAGTCCACACACCCCCTTTGGGAGGAAATAGAGGCTCTCGTGTCAATGACTAGCTGGGCATCACCCTGTGGCTCTGCCTGGGGCCCAACCCCACGCTGTCCCCTCCCAGAGGCCAAGTGGGGACCAAGGGTCCTGGAAGCCCAGTGCCCACAGTGCAAACGGCTTCGTTTCGGCCTGTGCATAAGTACTTTCATAACAAGGGCTTGGACCCCAAATGATTTAAAGGCTAACAAGAAAATACTATATCTCTTCCAGAAACCCGGGACTATAAAGCCTTTCAACAAAACAGTTAAAATCCCAACCTGCTTCAAGGTGTTATCCGGGTACCCCAGCCAGGCGCACGACGTGGTGTAGGCAGGATAGCCCTGGGCCAGCATCTGCGCCTCTGTGAGAACACAATGCTGGTCAGCGCTGGGGCCTCCACAACCAGATGGATCCCTGAGCTGGACAAATGCCTCAGCAGCCCACACAGAGGCCTCAGGAAGAAGCCCTAGTGACTTCCTTCCCCAAGGTCAGAGCCACGGAAGACCCTGGGGAGTGCAGTGCGGCTCTGCCTCATCGGGGAGCAGCCCGAGGACTGGTCAGAACCAGACCTGCCTGCGGCCCACCTGCTCTTGAAGGCCCACCTGCTCTTGAAGCCCCGTTGTCCCCATGGCCCTCCTTCACAAGGAGACGCCCCTCACGCACCTCCAGCCCCTAGGCTGGCCTCCTGGTCACGAAACCATCTAGGAGGTCAAGCAGGAGGGTGGGGACACCGACCTGGGCTGCCCCACTCGCCATGGCCCTCCCGAGGCCCACTGTGTGACCCTGAAGCCAAGCCCCTTCCTGGGGGCTGACTCGGCTTGTGAGCACCGCGGCCCATGCAGGTGGCTTTCAGCCACCCTCAGACGTCTACCTGGGGGCCTGGCCTCGGGAGGGTGATGTGCACTCTCAAAAGCACGGACTCGGTGACGGAAACAGTCTCATAGCCTACCTCTCTCTCTGCTACCAACTCGACCTTTCCGTAGCATTTCTGGAAAAAATAAAGACTACCGTTCACTCTGAGACCATCGAGCATGGGGCTACCGTGGTAGGTCTGTCCCCACAGGCCTCTGATTTCACTGAGTATGTGTGGCTCACCATAGGCCTCCTCCTCAGTCAGGGCATCGGAGATGTACCTGAAATCCATGCAGGACACCAGCACCTTAGGGTCCTGCAGAGAGAGAGAGGCCTCAGAGTGGAGCCGGTTTCAAAGGGGATGTCTCCATGCCACACGTCATATTGTATCATTCATTGGCATCTCCTGATGACGTCCTCTCCCCCCGAGAACCTCAGCCCAACCGTTCCACTAATATCCTTCACCGGCTCGATGACCTGGCATGAGGCAATCCCTCAAGACAAGTAAACGAACATCGGATCAGCCGTGCAGCCTTGCCCACACACAGGGCAGCCCGTGCGAGCTGCGAGACTAAGAAGACCGTGAGGTCGACCCGCGCCTCCTGCTCTCAGCAGCACAGCCTTGGGCCATTCCCTCCCCTGTAAAGCGGAGAGGGCTCACAGAGCTGGCAGGACGAGTGGGCCACTGAACAGGAGAGTGCCCACCAAGAGTTGGAGAGCACGTGCTGACACATCCACGGGGAGCTCCGAGCTGTGCTCATCCTGTGTCCCCCGCCCCGCCCCCCACTCAGGGCCGCTCACTACTAGTACCTCTCTGCACCCAAACTATGGGCTTGGAAAGCAACCTGTAGCCCATCCCCACGAAGGTCTTGATGCGACCCAGAACACTTGACTATAACCATCTGAAAATCACTAAAGCTCTCTGGACCCCGAGAGTCTACTGTTTTTAAGAGTCTTGATGCTGGAACAGGGAACAGGGCCTAAAGAGAAAGGAAACGTCCACAGGGGGCCTTCTGAGGGGCCTTCAAATCACTCGGTCTCGTGGTCGCTTTCTAAACTCCAGGAAAGGCTAACCTCAGCCTGCGTGGAGGCTCCCAAGAGACCCCCGACCTTGACCTTCAGAGCTCTTCACCCCTGACATCACTTCACCCTCAACCGTGTCCTGGCTTTCCTCCCTCCAGAGCAGGGTTGATGCCACCAGGCCCAGCAGTCTTTGAGGCCCTGTGTTCTTTGCTTTTCCTTAGCCTCGATGCCAAGGAAGTGCTAACAAGAACCTCAATCGCTGGATGCCAGACTGTTACCCTGCCAGGGGCCAGCATGAGAGCTGAAGCCCATAGGGCTCAGTCAGCTGCCTGCAACGCTTTGGCTGGAAGTGGTGAAGCCCAGACTCAGACTGAGGTCTCCCTGCACCTGAAGTTCACTCCCCTTCACTTGTTTAGTTTTTCCTTCCTCAGCAGTTGAGTGCTCACCCCTGCTATCAGCAAGCCTGGGAGAAAGGGCAGCCAAGTGAGCACCCTGGGGACTAAGTGGGGCACCTCCCCCCAGGAGCCTTGCCTCATCTCATCTCATCTTCTGTCACTTGTCAGAAGGACCGCGGACTATCTTCACAATAACACCCCGGGCTCTGTTGTAAAGCACCGTCCCCATTAGGTCTCTAGGTCAAGTTTGGGAGGTTCATAGGGAGCCTGTGCTTATCTACTTTCCAAGGATAGAGAATGTACAAGTCCAAGATCCACAGTGGTGGCACCGGTGCCTGGACTTGGCTTCCCAGGAGCACAGCCATTACTGCCAAGTACCAGAAAGAGAGAATTAATTGGTTCCCGCCTCATTGTTACAACAGTGATCAATATACTGAAAACCTAACTCACTGTCATGGAGTCTATGTCAACTCGCAGCAACCCTGTGGGACAGGTTAGAACTGTCCCTGTGGGTTTCACAGACTGTTTGCGGGAGTAGACAGCTCTGTCATCTCCTGCAGAGCAGCTGATGGTTTTGAACTGCTGACCTTGTGGGTCGAAGCCCAACTCATAACCACCACACCACCAGGGCTTCTCGAGTGATCAACATAGTCATGAATATATAGTCACTGACTGTCAAGAGGTGAGAAATCCATTTCATTTACAGAAACAATTGTGATGTTAAAGAATTTACATACCATGTCAACAAGTAACTTCCATAAAGGCTTGAAGGAAAAAAAAAAGATTTGTAAGATATATGCGTCAAAGAGCCATTTATCTCCCCTTTGTAGTAAATGCACTAGCAGCAAACTCAGGCCCCAAACAACTCCCCACAGCCACCCTCTCCCCATCTCTAATGCTGTCTGTGCCTTAAGTTGTCCCTTATGTGCCCAGCCACTCCTGCTGTCCCTTCCCCTCTTTCTCAACCATTTCTAACCTAATTCCTATACACTGCCATCATCTGGGGAGGAAAACAGACCCAAACAATTCTCTCCTTTTCCTTTTGAGGGCCTGCTGGTCTTCACAGGTCTGCTCAGAGGGAATGGAGTGTCTCTTGGTCACACATAGTATCCCCCAGGGACAGAGGAATGCTTATTAGATTAGTTACCTTTCCCTCCTGCTTGGCCCACAGGTCCCACAGGGCATTCAGCACGGCTGCTGTAGCCAGATGCACAACGCCTTTCTCCGGACCAATCTAGTCAGAACAAAGCACACCAGAGCCACTTAGAAACGAGAAAGACACAGAGGCTTCCTCGTGGGATGCACTTCAAGAATGAAAATGCAGCAATGAACACCCCCTTGAAAACTTTAAACACACACACACTCCTTTTCCCCCCTTGGGGCCATCTGAGAGGAGGCTGAAGACATCATCCCTTTTACCCTTAAACATTAAAAGCAAGGACATTCTCCTACACAAACATAATACAGATATTATACTCAGGGAGTACAACACGGATAAAATACTAAGACAGTCCTGATACAAATCTCAACAACTGGCCCAATAGTGTATTTTACCCAGAACAAGATCCAACCCCGGATCACATATCCCATTTAGTTGTCATGTCCCTCTAGTGTCCGCTAAACGGGCACAAGTCTATTGTTACAGCCCAAAGAAGACCTTCCACTGTGACAGATAAAAGCCTCTTACCCATCGGAGCTGCCCGTCACTGGTGAGCTGCCTGTAGAAGCCCCTGAAGTCACCGACAATGTCCCCAAGGGCCTTGTTCAGCACATGGTGGGCAAGTGCCTTTACAGCACAGACAACTATTAAAAAAATTAATTCTTGGTTATACCTTGGTATGAAGTCACTGTATTAAGATACATAAACACCACGAAGTAATGTGGGCATTTTTTAATTAAAAGTACGTGCTTTTAACAATTGCTCAGAATACATCTTCAGTGCTTGTCATAACTAATAAAACACACATCAGCACATTGTTAGTCAATATACTAAATTTAATTTCTAAAGAGTAAACACATTATTTGATTGACTGTGAAAAACAAAACAAATAGTTTTCCTAAACATAAATTGCTGACTTTTAAAAAAAAAATCATTTTATTGGGGCTCATACAACTCATCACAATCCATCCATCCATTGTGTCCAGCACATTTGTACATTTGTTGCCATCATCATTCTCAAATCATTTGCTTTCAACTTGAGCCCTTGGCATCAGCTCCTCATTTTCCCCCTCCCTCCCCGCTCCTTCATCCCTCATGAACCCTTCAAATTGCTGACTATAGACTTATTTATAATACGCTATGTTATATTTTCCACAAGTAGGGCAAGGGCTAAAGTTAAATTGGGTCAGCATTGCCATAATGATGTATTTTTGTGTTTTACTTAAAAGTGTTAAGATAAAGAATCAAGTCGCGAACTCTGGGGGGAAAGCTTGTCTATCCTTTGCTCACTAGACTATGTGTATGGAAGTTGCCGAAAGGGCAGTGATGGCTCAGTGGTAGGATTTTTGCCTCCCATCGGGGAGGCCCAGGTTTGATTCCTGGTCAAGACACCTCAAGCACAGGCATCAGCCATTTGTCAGTATAAATCTGTGTGTTGCTTTGATGCTGAACCAGTTTCAGCGGTGCTTTCACAGTAAGAGAGCCTGAAAAGAAAGCCCTGGAGATCTACCTCCAAAACATCATCAGTCTGACCCCCTTGTACACGGGGGGCCATGCGTCACAGCCAACCCAACAGCAGTTTAACAACCACAAATGACCAAAGTAATTAGACCAAGTCATCAACTTCATCCCGGGCCAATTGATTTGTTATGAGAATGTTCGACAAGCTCGTTAGTTGGTATTGCCATTGCCTTAATATCCACATTCTCAGATCACTTAACAGTATGGTGGTAGAGGAACAGCTTTGATAAAAACCAGATACTAGGAGATCTGGGACTTCTAAAGTACCAGCACATGCTCTTACATGCTTGCTCTTCGTGTGAAACAAATCACATGACTGAGTACTTGCTTAGCAAGTGGCCAATTAAGACTGGGCCACCTGTTCTGGGTTCTCTAGGGCTTGTGTTCCTGGAATCCATCTCACTCCACTTCAGATATCCATGCACTGGAGCTGCAAGGCAGACCCTCTCTTACTTATTCTTGAACTCATGAGAATCGAACTGCTTCTACCAAAACCAAACCCACTGCCATCAAGTTGACTGGACTCATAATGCTCCTACCTAGTGTTTCCAGGACTTTACAGGAGCACACAGGAATAGGCTCATCTTTCGCCCGAGGAGTAGTTGATGGGTTTGAAATGCTCATCGTAAGCTCTATGATTATCTATAGCAAACCTCAGTGTTGCTGACTTTATTGTTACTATGAATTGTGACCTAAAGCATAACACTAGTTGGTATCACAATAGCCAATGTGTTTGTCCTGAGACCCAGAGGACTCCCTCGTGCCCAGCTGCACCTGTCTGCTCTGAAAGGAGCACCTGAGAACATAGTTCCTGAACTTATTCTGCCTGTGGTTCCCTTTCATAAAAAAAAAGGTTCAGCAGCCCTCCCCCCCCCCAAATTAAAAAGTTTTGTACTATCGCCCATAATCCAGATAGGGTTGTTGTTGTTTTTTGGGGGGAGGGGGGTCTTTTGTTTTCCCACCTCCCCTGGATCATTCCAGAAGCCTCCAGGGGGCAGTATCACTCATTTTGGGAAGGTCCTGGGCCAAAAGTTAGAAAAATGTGGAACAAAACCCAAGATCGGGGGAGGGAGGGGAAAAATGAGGACCTAATGTCGGGGGTTTAAATGGAGAGAAAATGTTTTGAGATGTACAAATGCGCTTTACACAATTGATGTGTGTATGGCTTGGGATAACAGTTGTATGAGCCCCTAATAAAATGTTAAAAAAGAGAAAAAAAACAAGAAAAAAAAACAAATCCACACACACACACACACAAAAACCCATGATCGTAAAAAAGAGCAGGTTTACTGGTTGAAGAGCGACTGGTGGGACCCCCAAGATGATGGCCTCGGTCAGTCACCTGCCAGGTCTGAAGCCAGACTCAAGCTCACTTAGAATAGCCAACCGTTCAAGATCACAAGGGCAGCAGCATCTGCCCAAAGACGAAGTCCAGGGTTACTAGAGGAGGACTGGAAGGAGAGAAGTGATTTTACATGGAGGGGATTGCAACAGACGAGCTGCAACAAAAGGTGCATGGCTGTTACATGCAAGACTGATGATCTGCTCTGTAAACCTTCACCGAAATCACCATGAACACTTACAAGCAACCGCCTGCCGCAAGTCAGTGGTGACTCAATGACTCTAGACGGTTCCAAGGCTGACTGTCTTTAAGGACCTCATCGTTCGTGAGGTGGGCTAGTGGGGCTTGACCAGTAGTCCACGGGGTCAGTTGTCCAGCACTTCGCCGACAGCGCCCCCAGGGCGTGCAGAGGACTTGGGTTTTCCTTGGTGACATGGAATCACTGCAGGGCGGTCTCTGAAGCCTCCTGACCTTGCCAGAAATGTGCTCACAATGACTTGACCCCCAGTCTCCTTCGGGCTTGCCTGTTGGATGGAATGGGTGGGAAGCTCGTTTGGGGAAAAGGGCCCTTGGTGGCAGCAGCTTGTTGCTGCCTAAACCTGAGGCTTCTCTCCTGGCATGCCACCTCGGGGACTCCCCAGCATTGAGGGGTGGCCCAGTGAACCCTGCGAGAACGCTGGGCGCCGGCAGCGGTGCCAACCTTTGAGGCTACTTTGTCTCTCTAAGATTCTTCATTTTCCTCTTTTTCTTTTCCTACCATTGAAAAACTACACTGGTCTATTCTATACATTAAAAAACAAAAACAAACAAAACAAAGTAAACCTACCTGACCCTCTCCTTTCTTTCTCTCTCTCTCTCTCTCTCACACACACACACACCTTTTTTCAGAGCAGTGAAGAAGACATTCATTTGTCCTGTTTCTGGGGACATTAAAGAAAGCTTAGGTAAGTAACTACGTTGATAAAGCTTCCGAAGAACAGAATGAGCTCACGGAAGTGCTCCGTCTTTCAAGTCAGCGCTGAGTAACAGTTATGAGGCAGCAATGAGTCACTGAAATATGCTGCAGGGCTAAGTGGATTCGGTCATGTTGAGGTCTGAAAAAGGCGGAAGCCAACCGAGTAACTGCAACATAATCATTTATTAACATCATGGAGTCTGGAAGGGATTTACCTCAACCCGAGAGGTACACCAGGGCAAGTGGGTGGGCCTGGAAGTGGGGTGAAGGGGTTGGTGAAGGCCGGAAGGCACTGACCCCAGGGAAGGAGAACTCAGTACTGTCTTCGTGAGCACACCCCATGCAAGAGTCCCTTACCCTCGGAGCCAGTAAAGCTGTAAAACAAACAGCTCAAAGTCTTGCAAATGAACAGAGTGGTCCCAATGGCTGTCCTGTGTGAGGAGGCTGCTGTGCGACTTTGTAAGCTTGGTTAGTTGTATGTATACAACCGTTAGGGGCTGTGCTGTACAGTTTGCAGTAAGGAGGAAGACTACTGCTTCCAAAAGTGTTTGGCCAGAGACAATTAAGGTCACAGAAGCTGAAACATAGTTCACAAACCTATCATGGTCAACAATCATTACCTTGGGAAAACTCAAACAGTAAATCATTGACTTGCTGGGGGATGAGGCCAACCCCGAATCGCCGCCCAGTTGCACCTCCTTCGCCTGGAAAGTCCCAGTTTCCCTGTGAGGTGCGTTCAAAGCATCCGCTCGGCTCCGAAACCTCCTCCGGCCCTCTTGGGCAGAGTGCGCCGGCTCTGTGTATCTCGTACAGAGTTTAGAACGAATAATTCTCACACTGTGAACATTGATTTTGTGTTTGTCTCCCAGATAAGTTTTTAAGATAATTAATACAGGGCATCTCTCTCAGAATTATTCCTCCACTGTCGGACAACTCCTAACACACAGCCTCCCTCAAGACAAGTCTCCAGAATGACTGACGACCGCTCACAAGGCTGAGGACCAGCTAAAAAGTGGTCGCCTCGCTGTTCTCAATGTGAAATTCATGAAAGGTCCCCTTGTCTGTCCATCGATCTGTCCATCCATCCCCCAGCCCCTCTCACCCCTACACACACACACACACACACCCCTTTTATCTGCTCAACATTTGTGAACAATCTTTAGTAGGGTTAGAAAGGGGTGGCAGTATAACTTCCCCTGTAAGCGAGCTCATCCCAGGGAAATTACAGAAGCCGTTTCCTCTCTTCCTGGACCCTCATTCTTCACCTTAACACAATTCAGCTTCGGCTCCTGACAATGCACTGACACTGACTGGACAAAGTGCTCCCTGTTCTAGTTCTTGGTTTTTCTATCACATGCCTGTATTATTACATATTACACACACACACACACACAGTAGCTGCGACAACGGGATTAACTGTAAGAACAATCGTGAGGGTGGCGCAGACCCGGCAGTGTTTGATTCCACTATCACAGGGTGGCTGGGGGTTGGAACCCACTCAATGGCACCTAACAACACCGAGCAAGCAATTCTGGCAGGTGGGCAGTCTGATCTCTGCCATGCCTGATGAGTAGCCGAGTCTATAGAGCAGCGCTTCTCAACCTGTGGGTCATGACCCCTTTGGGGGCGAGACGACCCTTTTATAGGGGTTGCCCGATTCATAACAGTAGCAAAATTACAGTGATGAAGTAGCACTGAAAATAATTTTATGGTTGGGGGTCACAACATGAGGAACTAACTGTACTAAAGGATCGCGGCATGAGGAAGGTTGAGAACCACTGCACCAGAGGGGCTCAACAACACCGTTAAGATTTCGTCCAGTTCTGAGGGGCCGGCCCCACTCCCAACTACATGGACACCTGCTCCTCCCCTCAGAAGAATTTATTTCGGAGGACAGCACTGAATCTGCAGCTCCGAGAGAGGGGCATGTCTGATTAGAGCACACAGGAGCAAATGAAGGGGGAGGAAGAGAGAGTGGAGCACATCCTGGCCCACCAA